TTTTTTATGATTATTTATTAAATTATAATTTATGATTTTGTGTTTCAAATTTTATCATACCCAGGATGTTTACTAGACTCTTGTTCGGCATTTCAGTGAGTTTTTCCTAAAAATTACAGCCTACAATAAAAAAAATCATATTTCCATGCAAAAAAATTGGTACCGCTTTCAGCACCAAAAATCTGAAATAATCATGCCAGGGAGGTTAATCTGCGATGCATGAGCTGCAATATCTTAAAATTCAAGATGACTGCAGTGTCATTCAAATATTGTTTGCCCATGCTCAAAGTGAACATGTGCTTTGTCCATGCAGGAATTATAATTGACTGACTAGAATGTAGTTAATATTTTTAAAAAATTTTTTAAAGAGTCAGTCCACTGATAAATGATCATTTTAGCTACAGGTGGAGCCTTTTGGCATAATCGGCTCCATTTTTTTCTTACATGCATTGAATCCAGTACATAGCTTTCCTATTTATAATTACCATCTTTGTCCCTTTCCACCTGGGATGTTTTCTTGTACCCACCTTGTCTTGTTTTAGCACCTACTGTTACATTCTACATAATTAAAATTTAAATTAAGATCGACACGGGTCGACACGGGTCAGAGCAGGTGTGCAGCCCCAGGAAATGACAAGTATGGATGACACTATTAGAATCCCTTGGAGATATATTTAAGTGTTCTTGCATGGCAAGACCACTTACTGTTATCTCACATATATATTCTTATTATTATAGCCAAATTTACCACCCTAACTCCTCCCACAGTTTTTACACTACATAGACAGTAATATACCGAAACGTGAGGATTGTTCCCGATTGGTGTGCTATTACTTTGTGGAACGTTTTACCGAATGGTTCATGAAATATCGGCATTTTTGTGGTGAAATTGGTCCCATAGGAATGAATGGCGCAATGTTCAAAACTAGAGTGAGAGCTGACAAAAGCTAGAGTGTGAGCAGAAAAATCAGGACATGATTTCTAAATTGCTATCACTCCCTCATTTTCAAGCCCACCTACTCAAATCTTATATCAAAACATTCAGCTATCCCTGCTGCCACTAAAAATGTCCACGGCTAAGCCATAGTCCTGATAGTTTTCACAATATGACTATTTGTTTGCAACTCACACCGCCCATTGACATTCATTGAAATTCCACTCTAGCCACCTCAAATGTGAATGGCAATTTCTAAACTGCGACTGTGCCTTCATTTTTAATATTTCAGAGATATACTATGCATCAAAATGTAGGTCTGGGTCTTGTGATTCTCACAATATAAAGCTCTTCAGTGTAGGATTTATCATTTTTAAACTACAACCGTTTGAAGATGGCAACCGCCAGTGAAGTGAGCAAGTTGGAGCAGTTTGTTTTTAACCGCTCTTCTCTGCCCTTGCTGTAGTGTGAGTTGCCATAGGAACCCAGGTGTGTGAGCAGGCAGCAGAGTGACAAGCCACTCCACCCAGTTACTCCGCCCACTCCAGTTGTAGACTACTGGTGGAGGCAAGAACACTTCACACAATTTCCCCAGAAATTGTAGCTTTTCTAGTTATTATTATTATACACAGGATTTATATAGTGCGAATAGTCTGCACAGCGCTTTACAATATAAAGGGAGACAACACAGCAACAATACAGTTCAATACAAGAGGGATAGTGTCAGGGCTCCCGGGGTGTGACCAGAGGTATGTGACTGACGCAGGGGAACGCAGGCTTCAGATAAGTTATAAACAATATAATTTATTAAAGACTAACAATACAAACATAAACGCAGTGCAATACTAAAACATAACACAGTGCAAACGAACCAAACCAAACCACCCACAGATAACAGTACATACAATGCAAGTGTCGTCAGGCAGGCCGGGTCAATAACAATCGGGCAGGTAGGTACAGGGGGTCAGGCAGAGAATGGTCGGGGTCACAAGCCAGGGATGAAACAGGAAAAGTCAGCAGAGGTCCGGATCAGGCAGGGTCAGCAACGAATCAGACAAAGACAGGGACAGGAACAGGAACAGGAACAGGGATGCAGGAACAAGATACAGGGCCCAGGAAAAACACACACCAAGGCAGAGACTGCAGGTCTGGCCATCCCTTAAATACACCTGTATAATCAACTTCAGGTGTTTGGCTGACTGCAGGGTTGAGTCTCTGATTGCTGGGAGCACCCGCTGGCCAGCCCTGGTACTGCAGCCCACAAGGCAGGTGAGTCCCACCATTACTGGCAAGTCCATTCCTGACAGATAGGAGGGCCCTGCTCTTTGGAGCTTACAATCTAGGATCCAACTTTCAATATCTTTTGGTTCGCTGACTCTCTAATTAGCTGAGGTACATAAGATAAAGCTGTACTATTTAGGGGTACATGCAAGTCAAAATAAAATTTAGTTAAGTTACAACTAAAGTCCCCCCTTTGACAGTTTAGACAAATACCAAATGAATGGACTATGTGATGCACAAGCCTTATAAAGTATATAAAAACTTTCTTTATTCTCACTTACTAAGCCAAATCCTTCTTCATTCATGACTTGGTGTACATGCTCCCCCCTCCAGACACTGCAGCTCACAGTGGGAGGGTTTCAGCCACAGAGGCAATGCTGTCAATCCAGAAAGCAGTGAGCAAGACTAGGTATGGCCAGGTGCCAACCGACAACTTACAGGCTTGTAAATCAGCAGTGACAATACTGAAGGCTTTCCCTTTTGCAACATTTTTTCATCTCACTGTCTCGCAAGCAGGCACAGCCTCCATGAGAATGGCAACTCTACTCTGAATTCAGGAGCAGTGCAGCACCATTGCCATACCATCACAGAACATTGCTTTAGGTAACAGGTCAACAGATATTTGTGGGACTTTGCAGGGGACCCAGGAGAAAACCGTCAGTGCAGCTGCATTTACAGTTAATTGCTGAAACACATATTTGTTAGTAGAAGACCTGAGCTCTACTTTAAAGTGTTACGAAATTTGTGACCCTGCATTCATTATATCTGGTCTCCCACAGTACACAGAACATGGAAATGCAATTGTTTTAGTAAATAGAAACTGCTAAATACCTTTTCTCATCAGCAGCATATAGCAGTCTTCTGACTGTCAATCACTGTGTCCCGGCCGGTGATTACTCACCAACGCCCGGTGACTGCGGAGCATCTCCGACAGGGGGGGGAGAGAAATGTTTTCAAACAAAAACAGTTCTCCTCCCTGTCAGCTCCTGCACACAGTGAAGCACAAACACAGAACATCGTGTAAAATAGCACACAGTTAACCCTTTGATCGCCCCAAATGTTAACCCCTTCATGTCCAGTGCTATTAGTACAGTGTCAGTGCTTTTTATTAGCACTGATCACTGTATTGGTGTCACTGGGCATGTCAGTGACACCAAGTCAGTTCCCCCCAGTATCAGAATGCCTGCTGCAGTGTCAGAATGCCCACCCAGTATATAAACCACCATTTGTAAACGCTATAACTTTCATGTAAACCAATTAATTTACACATATTGGGATTTTTTTTAGCAAAGACACGTAGCAGAATCAGGGGCGGACTGACCATTTGGAAACTCGGGCACTGTCAGTAGGGGACCCCATGAGATACCCCTGGTACCTTTCTCATAGGCTTTTTTGAGTTTGGGCAAGGACACAGGGGCCCCATGATCCCCATGAGTTGTCAGTCCGCCCCTGAGCAGAATACATTTTGACCTAAATTTATGACAAAATTTGATTTTTACTATTTTTTTACTGGACATGTTTAATAGCAAAAAGTCAAAAATATAGTTTTTTTCTCAAAATTGTCACATTTTTTTTATAGCGCAAAAAAAAAAAAAATGCACAAGCAAATACCACTGAAAGAAAGCTCTATTCATGGAAATAAAAAGGCCGTAAATTTCGTTGGGTGCAGTGTTGCATGAGTGCCCAATTGTCAGTTAAAGTAACGCAGTGCCGTAATGCAAAAAATGGCCTGGTCAGGAAGGGGGGGGTAAATACTCAGGAGGGCAAATGGTTAAAAATGCATAACAACATTCACTATAGTTTTTTAATATCTACCTGCAGTGTAGTTGAAACACGTAATGACACTTGAAAATAATAATTTGTTAGCAAATAAAATACTGTAACAGTTAAATGTTGAATGTCAACTGTTACTTTTGTTTGGCATCAGCAAGTCACTATTAAGGCTCCATGCACACGGGGCATTTTAATAACGCTGGTAACGTTAGCTGTGTAAAGTCATGTTAAAAAAACATGAGTTTTCCAGCATTTTTTAGCATTTTTGCATTAGCGTTTAGTAGTGTTTTGCAGCATTTTGCAGCATTTTTTTTGCTCGAGAGGAGAGCCGGTAATTGGCATCCCTCAGAGGGGACATGTACACTGATCATCAGGGCACTGATGATCAGTGTGCCTGATGATCTGTGTAGCCCCAGCAGTGCCACCTGTCAGTGTGCATCAGTGCCAGCTGTCAGTGCTCATCCATGCCACCTGCCAGTGCCCATCAATGCCACATTTCAGTGCCTACCAGTGCAGGTGGACACCCTGGCTGCCGTTGTGCTACATGCTGGGTGTCAGGTGCGCTCCCATGGCCTTAATGAGGGGTGGGCTCCCTCAGGTTCACCTGCCCTTGTTTCTATCCATTTAAATGCATGTGCCTCCATTGTGAGGACTCTCAAGATTTATAGACTTAGGACCACAGATACTCAGGGTGCCGTGATGTGGCTCTGTGGCTTACGTATGTATTTGCAAATGTGTGCTAACTAAACCCCTGTTTTTAAACGCACGTTCTTAGACAGGTTAATTTGGGTTTTGATAGTTGGCTAACTGGCTGGCAGTTTGAACTGGCTTTCTTATCCCCCTCTTTTGATAAGTTATACTTATCCATGTTCCTTGCCGACAATAGCCATTATTAGACTGGGGTAGGCTGGCAAGTTGAACTGGATAGTCCTATTTTTTACAGTGCACATCAATGCCACATATCAATGCCCATCTGAGCTGCCTTTCAGTGTCACCCATCAGTGCCAGTCAGTGCCACCTATCAATGCCAGTCAGTGCCACCTATCAGTGCTGCCAATCAGTGCCACCTATCAGTGCCAGTCAGTGCCACCTATCAGTGTGCATCAGTGCCGCCTTTCAGTGCCCGTCAGTGCTGCCTATCAGTGCCACCTAACAGTGCCAGTCAGTGCCACCTGTCAGTGCCAGTCAGTTCCGCCTATCAGTGCCACCTATCAGTGCCGCCTATCAGTGCCATATGAGTGCTGCCTTTCAGTGCCTATCAGTAATGCCTGTCAATGCCCATCAGTGCCACCTACCAGCCTCATTAGCGCACATCAGTGAAGGAGAAAAATCACTTATTTACAAAATTTTATAACAAAAACTAAGAAAAAATGTTTTTTAATCAAAATTTTCAGTGGTTTTTGGTTTGTTTAAGAAAAAATAAAAAACCCAGAGGTGATTAAATACCACCGAAAGAAAGCTCTATCTGTCTCAAAAAAGTTATAAAAATTTCATATGAGTATAGTGTTGCATGACTGCGCAATTGTCATTCAAAGTGCAACAGTGCTGAAAGCTGGAAATTGACCTGGCAGGAAGGGGGTATAAGTGCCCTGTAGGCTAGTGGTTAAACAAAAGCATGTTTGCTCTCATCAGCTTGCGTTTATATACAATTATTTATATTTATATGTATTGAAAAGCATTGTAGCATGCTGCTTTATCCTTTTCTTTGTCACCATCAGTTCTAGTCTGTTCTTTATAGCATAAGCCCAGATATTTGGCTCTATCTTACCATGAAGTATCTTTCTTCATGTACAATGCAAAAGTGTATAGTGTAACACCATCAGAAATGTTATAGGCACGCAGCAACAAGACCACAATGGCAGAGATGATGATACCACACTGACACCACTGAAGGGAAAATCATCAAAGATGGTTACCAGAAGAATAACTGTCATTTGTTTAGGTAATGCACTGTTAATGTAGTTGCTTATTTCATAAATTAAAAGCAAAATGCATTAATCAGTAGCAAGAAATTAGAAAAAATCAAATCTGATTGGTTTCAAAAGCTGCATTTTGCACTTCTTGCTCTTTGCATTGTCCTATTTAATAAGTCTGCTAGTGCAGAGCAGTAAATTGATTTAATACAGAGGCATTCTACAATTACAGAACTTCTAATATAAGGGTAAGGCCAGGGGCGGACTGACAACTCATGGGGCCCCCGGGCAATAGGGAATCATGGGGCCCCTGTGTCCTTGCCCAAACTAAAAAAAACTCAAAAAAGCCTATGAAAAAGGTACCAGAGGCATCTCCTGGGGCCCCCTACTGACCCCGGGCCCTCGGGCAGTGCCCGAGTTTCCAAATGGTCAGTTTGCCCCTGGGTAAGGCTGTATACACCAGAATCCAGAGACCACTGTGTGTAGGATTGGGGCTCACCCCACCAAGCATTGAGTGTAACTGCTTTCTGTACAAAGACAGCTATATTCCCTTCAGGCTTTCACTCCAGCTTGTCTGATTCTCTATAAGCCCTGGTTCACATCTGTGTGGTCGTGTGGGCCATGATTTGGATGGACTCCTGTGCCCCGGGACTCGCTGGGAAGAAGTCCCTGCACTACTTCGGAAACTGCAGCCCGCACGGGAACCGAGGTTCCCAGTACGATTGCAATTTCCAGTGCAGGCGGCATGCCATTAGAATTAATGGCACCTGCCCGCGAGTCCCTCATTCCTATGTGTGGGTGATGCGGTTGCAAGCATTTGTGCGGGTCCCGCAGCGGCACCACCCGCACAAATGTGAACAAAGGCTAAGGGAGCTCAGCAACCTCACAGATGTGAGTACATTGTTGCATTTTATCCTCTCTTCATACATTATTTTGATCTGTAAACTACTACACTATGAGGCTCCTTTCACATGAATGTTCTGACCCGGCCCACCTGTCTGTTTTTTCAGGCAGACCCGATCGAATCCTTGATTCTCCTCTATGTATCAGTGGGTGTAAATGGGCTGTCTGTTTACACTTGAATACATCCAGTTCGATCTGCTAAAACTAAACGGGGGAAACTATTCCCCTCTGGGGTGGATCGGAGTTGGGTGTAAACGGACAGGCTCACATCCAACCGCTCAGAGGAGTGTGTGCTGTGTCTGTGTAAGTGGGGTGGAAAAGAAGAACCTGTCATCCATCTGCTCAGTGAGGGGTCAGTGGACAGATCCCCTGCTGAGCAACCAGATCACAGGAAGAGTCCAACCCATGTGAAAGGGACTTAAAGCGGAGTTCCACCCAAAAGGGGAGGTTCCGCTTTAAAGATTGGTCCCCTGCTCCCCATTAAGGATTGGCACCTTTGGGGAGCGGGGGAATGGGTACCCGAATTTGAAAGGTACCCGCTTCCACTTCTGCTGTGATCGCCTAGGCCAGAGGTGGGCAACAGTGGCCCTCCAGCTGTTGTAGAACTACAAGTCCCATGAGGCATTGCAAAACTGGCAGTTACAAGCATGACTCCCAAAGGCAGAGGCATGATGGGACTTGTAGTTCACCAACAGCTGAAGGGCCAGAGTTGCCCACCCCTGACCTAGGCGATCGGAAATGGAAGTTGTCCTCCTACCCTCCCTCCCCGAAGTCTTGTGGGACATGTGGCAAGTCCGAGAAGATGACGGGGCCATTCAGGAAACGCAGCACTACTCGTGCATGCACAGTGGGAACCCAGCTGTGAAGCCGCAAGCTGTCATAGCCGGGTGCCCACACTGAAGATGCCGTCGCCTGGAATACAGGACAGCCGGTGAAACGGGCTGCGGCGGGGGCAACGCGGGATCATGGGACAGGTGAGTGGCTGTTTTTTAAAAGTCAGCAGCTTTAAAGATCTCTCCCATGACCTCTCTCTTTGTATTTTCTTTTTCTCTTCTCTCCATATCTTTGGAGGTACCCCAGCAAAGGAAAGAGGTACCACAGTGCTTCTTAAATGCACTCAAATGCACTTGAATTTGGTATTTTATGAGTTTCTGGATTCTTCTAATACTAAATTCATAAAGGATAGCAACACAAAGCACAATCTTTGCAAACAATAAGGCTTCACATGCAATAATAGTGGCTGTCAGGACATGTAACAATTACCCAGAAGACAATAGCAAATCTTTCTGATAAGGAAAGGCTCCCTACAGCACACGGTGATTTTCCAACATTCTTTGAAGAAAAGATTTGATCACATAGAGTACTGTCACATTTAACAGTAAGTCAAACCAGGGACACAATAGCAGGTTCGAGTGGGATGACAGCGCAGGAGAGCTAGGTCATATTTTTCAAAACCCGCTTCCTTAATAAATAACCTTCTCTCTTCATACATACTGCACATTTTTTTTTTTTTTTTAATTTATTTCAGGTACTTATATAGCGCTGTCAGTTTACGCAGTGCTTTTACATATATATTGTACATTCACATCAGTCCCTAACCCTCAAGGGGCGCACAATCTAAGGTCCCTAACTTACATTCATACATACACATACTATAGCCAGTTTAGACAGGAGCCAATTAACCTACCAGCATGTCTTTGTACAGACCAATGATAGTTACATAATTAGTCTGGTTGAAAATGAACACAAATCCATCCGTTTCAACCAATAGAAGAAGGGAAAATGATACACAATCCTATATACACAATCCTATAACCGCAGTTCAAGAGGAAGTAAAAAAAACCCCAATAAAGCATGTTCACATTTGCTCCAGCAGAGGAAAACTTTGCTTTCTGATCCCCCAAGAGGCAATCAGATATTCCCTACATCAACTTTACCTATAACTAAAGTATCCTGCTATATTGTGTGCATTTAGGAAAGAATACAGGACTTTTTTTAAAAAAACAATCTACTGAGCTGGCCATAACAGCTCTTGAAGGAGTCTATTATTTATTTATTATAGGTACTTATACAGTATAGCACTGTCAATTTATGCAGCACTTTACATATATTGTACAGTCACATCAGTCTATAAACCTCAAGAAGCTACAATCTAAGATTCCTAACTCGCATACATACTGGGGCCAATTAACCTCCTTGGCAGTATGATTATTTCAGATTTTTGGTGCTGAAAGCGGTACCATTATTTTGCATGGAAAAATGTAGTTTTTTTTATTGTAGCCTGTCATTTTTAGGAATAACTCACTGAAATCTGTCCGAACAAGAGTCTAGTAAACATTTCGGATATGATAAAACTTGAAACACGAAATCATAAATTATAATTTAATAAATAATCATAAAAAATAATAATATAATAATAAATTTAATTCAATAATATAATCAAACCAAAAACACTGAAATTTGAAATAGAGCGCCAAGTTCGCACATCACTGAGCAAAGTCGCAAAATCGTTTTCAGTGTGTGATGACCAATTTCCCCACAAAACATTATCACTCAATTCTGAAAGCGGTTCTGATTTACTATCGCTGTTCTCTAGCCAGTCTAAAACCGCTTTTGACCTAAAAGGACGCTTTTTGGACGCCATGGACTTTTCTAAGTTTCCAGGCAGAAAGAACAGTCAAAATGCAGGCGGGAAACAGGACAAAGCACTAGGGACAAAATGTATGTGAAATGCTTTGAAACAGCTATTTTTTTGCTACAGTGGGGAAAAAAGTATTTAGTCAGCCACCAATTGTGCAAGTTCTCCCACTTAAAGATATGAGAGAGGCCTGTAATTGGCATCATAGGTAGACCTCAACTATGAGAGACAAAATTAGAAAAAAAATCCAGACAATCACATTGGCTGATTTGGAAAGAATTTATTTGCAAATTATGGTGGAAAATAAGTATTTGGTCAATATCAAAAGTTCATCTCAATACTTTGTTATATATCCTTTGTTGGCAATGACAGAGGTCAAACGTTTCCTGTAAGTCTTCACAAGGTTGGCACACACTGTTGCTGGTATGTTGGCCCATTCCTCCATGCAGATCTCCTCTAGAGCAGTGATGTTTTGGGGCTGTCGCTGGGCAACACAGACTTTCAACTCCCTCCAAAGGTTTTCTATGGGGTTGAGATCTGGAGACTGGCTAGCCCACTCCAGCCCACACAGCTTCCATGCATCCCAGGCAGGAGGGGGGCTGTCAGAGTGGGGGGGACTGGACCAAGTGGCAGATACAACCAGCACCCCTGTAATTTGTTGGTGCTGTCTGTCTGTACAACCAGCCTCTGCTGCTCACCATGCTGCTTCCTATGTTTCAGCACCAGGTGTTGGAAAGAGTATTCCAGCATCTAGTGCTGGTAACAGACCTGCATCCACAGTACTTGAGAGTTAGCAAATCTAACCCCATTTCCTGTTTTGGTCCTGTGACAAAGCATCTCATGAGAGTCACAAGGGCAGTCTAAGACCCTGGGCAGAGGTCTGAAGAAGTTGCTGGGAAGGTAAGGGAAAATAATGGCAGGTTATCTGAGATCTGAAGTGGCCAAAGAGGAAAGGGGGTCATCTGAGGTCTGAATAGGGTAGAGAGGATAAAGGGGCTGGCCTGAGGTTGGAAAGGCATTTAAAAGACAAGGAGGCAAGTCTGAGGTCTGAAGGGGTTAAGGAGAAAAAATGGGGGCTGATATGAGGTCTATAGTTAAAGAGAGGGGGCTGATGTTAGATTTGAAATGGTTAAGGAAGAAAGAAGGGAGCTGATCTGAAGTCTAAAGCGGATAAGGAAGAAAGAGAATGCAGATCTGAGGTCTGAAGAGGTTAAGGAAGAAAGCAAGCTCTGATCTGAGGTCTAAAGAGGTTAAGGAGGAAAGAGGAGGCAGATCTGAGTTATGAGGAGGGTATGGAGGAAAGGAGGGCTGATCTGAGGTTTGGAGGGCTTAAGGAAGAAGGGGAAATAAAGAGAGGTTTAATGGTACATACACACTGCCAATGGCAAGGTATTTTTCCTTCAACTGACATTGACACAGAAACATTTTTTTCCACCACTGATGCCATACATTTGCCTTCTCACTCTAACGCCACAACATTTTTACCAACAACTGACTTAAGGTTTTTTTTTTTTCAACCACTGACCGTTGATTTTTCCTCCCACTAAGGCTGTGGCATTTTTCCAACCACTGATTCTGAGGCAATTTCATCCTACTTACCACTAACACCAGGCATTTACCTTCCACTGATCAATAACATAAGGCATAAAGCCCTACTAAATATGTCAGATTTAAAAAAATGCATCCCCCAAGATATATAGTATACAT